GAAGATTAGAGATGGGTGATTGATGATGAAGAAGAATGATCAGTGATGAAGGTGGAGGATGATGAAGATCGGAGATGATGGGTAAAAATGGTGATTAGAGGATGATGGAAGAAAAAGAGGAGGAAGGTTAAATTTGTAATTTTATCCTTTGGTTTATACAGGAAAACTTTTATTTTATAATATGTGCACCCACCGGTTCAACACCGGTGGGTGTACATATCTTTATCCTTTTACTTTACTTATTCGGTCATTCGACCGTTGCGATTATAAAACCTTTTTTACTTTACTTATTTGGTCATTTGACCATTACGGTTTCATAGCCGTTTTTAGTTTACTTGTTCGGTCATTCGACCGTTGCGGTTATAAAACTGTTTTTACTTTACTTATTTGATCATTCAACCATTACGGTTTCATAACGGTTTTTAGTTTACTTGTCCGGTCATTCGACCGTTGCGGTTATAAAACCGTTTTTACTTTACTTGTTTGATCATTCGACCATTGCGGTTTCTTAACTGTTTTCACTTTCCTTGTTCGGCCATTTGACCATTGTGGTTATAAACCATTTTTACTTTACTTGTTTGGTCATTCAACCGTTGCGGTTTCTTAATCGTTTTCACTTTCCTTGTTCGGTCATTTGATCGTTGTGGTTATAAAACTATTTTTACTTTGCTTATTCGGTCATTTGACCGTTGCGGTTATAAAACCGTTTTAATTTTCTTGTTCGGTTATTCGATCGTTACGGTTTCTTAACCGCTTTTACTTTACTTGTTCGGTCATTTGATCGTTGTGGTTATAAAACTATTTTTACTTTGCTTATTCGGTCATTTGACTGTTGCGGTTATAAAACCGTTTTAATTTTCTTGTTCGGTTTTTCGATTGTTACGGTTTCTTAATCATTTTCACTTTCCTTGTTCAGTCATTTGATTGTTGTGGTTATAAAACTATTTTTACTTTGCTTATTCGGTCATTTGACCGTTGCGGTTATAAAACCGTTTTAATGTTCTTGTTCGGTTATTCGATCGTTAAGGTTTCTTAACCGCTTTTACTTTACTTGTTCGGTCATTTGATCGTTGCGGTTTCTTGACCGTTTTTGCTTTACTTGTTCTGTCATTTGAGCATTGCGGTTTCTTAATCGCTTTAACTTTACTTGTTCAGTCATTCGACTGTTATGGTTTTTTAACCGTTTTCACTTTACTTGTTCAGTCATTCGACCGTTGCGGTTATAAAACCGTTTTTACTTTACTTATTCGATCATTCGACTGTTGTAGTTTCTTAACCGTTTTCACTTTCCTTGTTCGCTCATTTAACCGTTGTGGTTATAAAACCATTTTTACTTTGCTTGTTTGATCATTCAACCGTTGTGGTTGTAAAATCGTTTTTACTTTACTTGTTTAGTCATTCGACCATTGCGGTTATAAAACCATTTTTTACTTTACTTGTTCGGTCATTTGATTGTTGCAGTTATAAAATCGTTTTTACTTTACTTGTTTAGTAATTCGACCATTGCGGTTTCATAGCTGTGTTTACTTTTTCGATCATTCTATCGTTGCAGTTATAAAACCGTTTTTACTTTACTTGTTCGGTCATTCGACCGTTCGGTTTCACTTTCCTTGTTCGGTCATTTGACCGTTGTGGTTATAAAACCATTTTTACTTTACTTGTTTGGTCATTCGACCGTTATGGTTTCTTAACCGTTTTCACTTTCCTTGTTTGGTCATTTGACGGTTGTAGTTATAAAACCATTTTACTTTGCTTGTTTGGTCATTCGACCGTTGCGATTATAAAACCATTTTACTTTTCTTGTTCCGTCATTTGACCGTTGCGGTTTGTTAACCGTTTTTACTTTACTTGTTTGGTCATTTGACCGTTGCAATTTCTTAACCATTTTTACTTTACTTATTTGGTCGCTCAACCGTTGCGGTTTCTTAACCAATTTTACTCTACTTGTTCGGTCATTTGACTATTGCGGTTTCTTAACCGTTTTTACTTTACTTGTTCAGTCATTCGACCGTTGCGGTTTCTTAATCGTTTTTACTTTACTTGTTCAGTCATTCGACTGTTGCGGTTTCTTAACCGTTTTTACTTTACCTGTTCAGTCATTCGACACGTTTTACTTTACCTATTTAGTTTATCAAAAAAAAAAAGAGTTGAAAATTTGAGTTATTCTTATCTTTTCTTTTCATTTTTAGTAGAAAGAAAAGAAATGAGGGGCAACAGTCATACTCAAATTTTTAATAGAATTTTATTTTTATTTTTATTTTTAGCCTCATTTTTATTTTAACTAATATGTTTGTCTTTGTTTGCCTTGTTAGGTTCATGAGCAAAAAAGGAGATTTTTGCTAAGAAAATTGGAAAAGGGAGGTGAAAGAAATGAAAACAAGGGACTCAATTGAAGAGATCAAAAGTTGAAGGGTAGAATGCATTGAAGTTAAAATCCACAATTATCCGAAACGCAAAGCCCACCAAATTCCTCAAACCCAAAATCCAAAACCCATTTAATCCAAACCCAAAACCCAAAACCCAAAACCCAAAAGCCTAAAGCCCACCAACCCAAAACCTAAAAAAAAAAAAAAAAAAAAAAAGGAGGGGGGCTTAAATCCCTTTCTTCTTCTACTCAACCTCAGTGTCCTTCTCTTTCTTCTTAGATTTCCCTTCCTCCTCACACAGACTCCTAGCCTCTTCCCCAAACCATTCGGCAGCCATCATTTTTTCTTTTCTCTTCCTCCAGTCATAACCGTCGCGTCTCACGACTTCCAAACCCTTCGATCAGCCCTCGATTCCTCCATTCTCGTCCCTTATTCCATCTCGCATCCAGTCACCCGAAGCATTTTCACGGACAAATGAGATCCATGTCGGTGAGTAACCACCGAAATTGGAAAGGGGAGAGCTGGATCTGTTGATTGGTGACGGAGGTGATGTGCGCACGAAGCTCTGGCGACTCGGCGAGATTTCGATCTCCTTGCGGCTGGACTAGATTTGCAGATCTGTACTACTACGAAACACGAATGGGTTGACCAAAGGATGGCGTCGACGTAGATTGAAGGCCCAAATGCATTTTGCAGATTTTTGTAAAAGGGTAAAGATCAGAAAAATAGAGGGTTTTAGGTTAGAAAAAGGGGGGTTTTTCTTTTGGTTGAGTCTGGTGTTGATGGTGGAGAAAAGGAAGAATTTTTCTACTGGAAGGGGGTCTTTTATTTGAGTTGGGTACTAAGAACAGCGACAGAAAGGAGAGGAGTTCTGCTAGAGGGAGCCAGTGATTTGGGAGAAGATTTGGGTCTACCTTTGTAGGTAATTTTCTGAATAAAGGAGTTTTCTAGGAACGGTGGTGAAAGGGACGATGGGACCCTGGTCTCGTGGGTGGGATCCCTCCCACCAGATTTGGATCTACTTTTCCTAAAAAAAACTCTGCCCTAATTTCTTTTTTGGTATTTTGCATTTAATGTTCAAGATTGTATGTGTTTCTTGAGAAATGAATGAACGATCATAGATTTGCCTGTTTATTTGCCTGATGAATCTGTTCATCTTTTGCTGAAAATGAGATGTATTCATGATGAACCCTAGTTTCCTACGTTGTTTGCATGTTTGATCTTCTTTTTGGTTATTTTATGTTGGGGTTGTGTTTTTTGGTCGGGTTGATCAAATCAAACCCGATCCAATAAAAAAAATACATAATATAAATAAAACGAATTAATTAATTAAGATAATTGACTTAATCTATGATTAATAATATTAATTAACTTTAATTAAAATAAATTAATTATATTTATTGACCTTAATTTAAGATAATTATATTTTTTATCTTGATTAAAGATTAATAATGTCATTAATTAATTTTAATTAATTTTAATTAATGTTAAATTAATTATTTAATTAAGTTAATTGTCATATTAATTAATTTAAATCCTTAATTTCTGTTAATTTTAGTCAAAGTCAAAATTATCTTTTCTCATTTTAATTTCACCCAACACTTTTATAATTAAGCAATTTAGTCCACATATTTCAACTTTTTCAAATTAGTCCTCTATGTTTTGAATTTAATTAAATCGGTCCTCCATGCTTTGAATTTAATCAAATTAGTCCCTTAACTTTTTATTTATGCTCATTTCGCATGCATGTTCTTGAATTTGTCCATTTTAGTCCAAATGGTTTTTAAATATTGCAATTTGGTCCATCCATTTCTCAAGTTTGCTTATTAAGCCTAAATATAAATATAATGAATAAGTTGAATCAAAATCCCAATTTTAAAGTATGCAACCGTATTTAAGTAGAGGATTGTGAGGTGTGCATATGCTCTTTCTCACTCCTAACTGAACCCACGGACCCTAATCTTTGTGTAAACTTGTTTCTTTTGATGACTTGTCTCACCTTATAATTTGGACGAGTGGCGACTCCTTCTTTTTATATTTTCACACTTAATCCTTTAAGTGGTCGTCAACCCCTATTGAAAAAAAAAAAAAGAAAATTTTGTTAAGCTGTCAAAAAAAAAAAATACACCAGCAAGATCGCTTACCACTAATCAGCCGGAAAATGTTATTTACCTCTGTGGTTGGCTAGAGCTTGGAGGAGGAGAAGCTTGCAACATAGAGGAAGAAAAAAGGAAGGAAAAAACAGAGGAAAATCGCAGATAGATTGCAGTAGGGGAAGGGACAAGCATAGAGAGGATAAAGGCTGCATGCAGCCTTATATGGACTGATATTAGTCCGTATAAATCTGGCAGTGGGCCCTAATGTCTCATCGGTTTAGGGAATCTCTGGCGCCTATTTTCAAACAGAGTTCGATCGGTATATGATAAATATTCGGACCGATAATGGTCCATATATTAAATGAATCTCAGCACTTTCCTAATGATATATACCGACCAATTTTGGTCCGTATATCTTTATTTAAATAATATTTTATCCTAATTTTTGTTATTTAATATTTATTTTTTATGAAAAAATATTCGGACCATCTTTGGTCTGAATATTCATGGATATTCGAACCGAAACCGATCCGAATATTAAACGAACCTCGGCATTTTCTGAGTGATATATACGGACCGATTTTGGTCCGTATATATTTATTTAAATAATATTTTATTCTTACTTTTTGTTATTTAATATTTAATTTTTACAGAAAAAATATTCGGACCGTATTCAATCTGAATATTATTGGCGCATTTGCACTGTTAATTCCCACCAGAAATATACGGACTGAAACTGGTCTGAATATTTTGATTAATGGATTTGGTACCACCTTAATATATTCAGACCGAATTGGTCCGAATAGTTATTTATACGGACCGACATGATTCAGTCCGTATATAATCGGTTTGAATTGTTGACTCAATGTACTCCAAGAGGGGGGGTGAATTGGAGTTCCAAAAATTCTCCCCTTTTTGCAACCACAAAACCAAAATTAAAGAGAGTAGAGAAGAAGAGCTTGCTCAATGATTTATAGAGGTTCGGGTCCAACCACTTGGATCCTAGTCCTCTACCTTGGCTTCACTCACCAAGGATTTCCTCCACACTCTCCACTAACAACAACAAGGGTGGCTTAAAGGAGCCACTCAATCCTTTTACAACAAGGTGAGTATTTCTCTCAAACCTCACCCCTTTACAATGTAA